CAATAGTTAATGGAGGTGGCCACTCTTGTATAGCTTTTATCTTCTCTTCATCAACTTTTAAACCCTGAGAACTTGCAACAAATCCTAAAAATTGAACTTGATCAGTGCAAAAAGTACATTTTTTAAGATTAGCATAAAGATTCTCCAGCCTAAGTGTTTTAAGAACCTGTTCTAGATGTTTAAGATGATCTTCTAAGCAGGTGCTGTAAATCAGTATGTCATCAAAATCAACAACTACAAATTACAGATGTATGCCCTTAAGACATTGTTCATGATTCTCATGAATGTGTTGGGGGCTTTTATGAGACCAAATGGCATAACAAGCCATTCATACAACCCTCTCTTGGTTTTGAAGGCAGACTTCCATTCATCTCCTTCTTTCATCTTCACTTGGTGATAGCCACTTATTAGATCGATATTGGAGAAGATGGTTACCCCATTGAGTTCATCATGTATGTCATCAAGTCCGGATATAGGATGTATGTACTTGATGGCTATGTTGTTGAGAGCTCTGCAATCAACACACATCATCCATGAGTCATCCTTCTTTGGTACTAGAAGGACAAGAACTGCACAATTACTTAAGCTCTCTCTGATGTACCCTTTTGACATGAGCTCTTGAACTTGTTTTTCTAACTCCTTGGCCTCCTCTCGATTGTAGCTATAGGCTGCTCGGTTTGGTAGAGGTGCTCCTGGTACTAGATCGATTTGATACTCTATGTCGCTTACTTTTCGTAATCCTGGTGGAAACTTCTCTGAAAAAAAATCTACAAATCGTTTAAGTAACTCAAGTACTTCTGGTGGTGGTTCCTTTTCATCTTGTCCTGAGAACAATCCTTCCTTTAAAAAAACCATTAGTAGCACTTTTTCTTGTGAAATACGAGATTTAAACACATAATTAGGTGATTTTACTCACCTCAGAGCTCTTAGTCATGGCTCTTTGCATTTCATGTACCTCCTGTGGGATAAGAGGGGCTAGATTATGCTTGCGATTGTTGTGAGAGAAACTGTAGTAATTGATCCTCCCATTGTGTATGGCCTCTTTGTCAAATTGCAAAGGTCTTTCTAGCAACAAGTGGCCGACTTGCATGGGAACCACGTCACATACTAAGTTATCAGCATACTTACAAATGGTGAATGGTATGGTGACTTTCTCAGCAATCTTGAGTTCAGTTTCATCATTTAGCCATCTTAACTGGTAGGGATGGGGATGCTTCGTCTTTTGTAAATCTAGCTTGGTAACTAAGCACTTGCTAGCTACATTTGTACATGACCCTCCATCAATAATCAAGCTAAATACTATAGAGTTGATTCTGAGTGAAAGATGTTTACCCTCTGCAAAGTTTCTAAATCACAAAGCGTACTGAGGGCTCTCCTTACTACAAGTAACTCGCCAGTTTCAGAATAGTTGACTACATCTTTTCTGAATACTTTGGCTCCAAATCTGCTCCATCCTGAGATTTTTTACTCTCTATTGGATGTAAGGATCATAACTCTCTGGTTAGGACAGTCTCTTGCATAATGCCCTCTGCCCTGAAATTTGAAACAAGTAATGTCACGAGCTCTAGTATTTTGGTTACTAGGAAACTTACCTTGCTCTGGTTTGCACCCTTTGGACGTTTTTGATGCTGGTCGCTTGAACCGGGAGTCCACTTCTATAGACTTTCCTTTGTCCGCGTTTCTCTGAGCTTGTGGAGTTCAATTACTCTTGCTTCGGTTTGTAGAGGCTGTTGTCTTCTTGATATGCTGTTCAGCTTGGATCGCAAGTGTAGAAGCTCTTCCATGTCGTGGTATACTTGCCTTTCCACCTTCCAAGCAATCTTTTCTTGAAGTCCATCCATGAACTAAGCCATCAAGGTTTCTGGTGGATCTTCTACTTCTAGCCGGTTCTTGAGGATCTCAAACTCACAGACTTGTTCCCTTGAGAGATCTTGCAGAGTCTCCTTAGCAACTCTCGGTGATAATATGCTGGTACATACCTCTTCCTTAGGCTGAACCGCATGTCTATCCAGTTGTTGATCTGACCATGTCTATGCCTTCTCCTTTCTGAAATATCTCTGTTTCACCAAGGCAAAGCATTCTCGATTAATTAAGCAATAGCTAATGATAATTTCCTTACCTCAGAGTATTGGTAATACTTAAAGATGTTCTCCATCCTTCTCTCCCAATCAAGGTATGCATCGGGATTGATCTTTCCAACAAATGTAGGTGGGGTAAGCTTGATGTATGTGCATCTGTCTCTAGCATAGTCATCTACTCTACCTCCTTGACGTGGTCCTCCATGGTTAGGGTAGCCATCAGGCTCATGTGGCGGATCATCATCTAGTCATGGTATACCATCATCATCTTGTTGTTGATTACTCCGTCCATTAGCAGCTGGTCTTCTGTGTTGTGCAGGAGCAGGAGCAGGAGCAGGTTGCTCCATCCTTGCAACACGTTCACTTAAAGTGGCGAGTGTTACTTGGATGTTGGCAAAAATCTGGGCAAGGCCGAGATCTTCTGGTGCAATAGGGTCTGTTATTCTCTCCTGCTTAAGATAAGAAAAACACAAAGATCAAGTGAAATATGTGTGGTATGGAAGATTCAAACAAAACGCAATATCAATGTTAAAGTATATAACTAACATTGATAAGGGTGAAAGCAATAAAATATGCTAATGACAACAATGATTGTAATTTAATGAGAAAAATTTAACCAAATGATAATATTCTTTTTTTTTATGGGTAAACAAATAATTTTTCTGATTTTTGAGTTCAATGGACGCAAGATAAATCAAGAAAACAATTGAAATAAAAAAGTTTTTTTATTTATTTTCTGGAAATGAAGAACACAGAAAAACAAAAATAAGAACACAAGAACAAAAAGTTAAGAACAAGGATAGATTCACTTGATTGTGGAGCCTAAGCTCTAATACTAGATAATAAGATCGAGGGGGTATGGTCTTATAATGTTTGGGTGAATCGATGGAAACAAGCAGCTGGACTGAAGTCTCTTTCTACTTGCTTAAAAGATGATCATAGTGGATAGTTATGGTATCAATCTGCTGGACTGAAGTCTCTTTCAGGCTTGATCAGTGTATGAAATGGAAGGATGGGGGATCGATGGATGCCAATCTGCTTTATGGAACAAGCAGAGATAAGTCTTGAACTCAAGAGATAGGCTTCTCACACAATCTCAAAGAACTCTAGTTTGTTTGCAATTCTGTCAAGAACAACAAAAAGAGTTTTTCTTTATTAATCAAGTGTGAAAAAATGCATAGCTTATGGAAGCATATATATGGTTAAAGCAACTGAGGGCTTCTTTGGCAATTTATTACAAGAATTAATGCAAGAATCAAAAATACAAAATCAAAGGGAAAAGTCAAAGCAATAAAACAAAAGTTCATAAGTAAGAAAATTGCTAATTTAATAGGATTAGCTGTTGAGATCAAACAAAGTTAAACACAAGGGATTAGTCAAATATGATTTAAATTATTCAACGACTTACCTTGATTAGTTGAGGGCGGATTAGTAGACTTGGAAGCTTGGTTTGATCTCTTCTTGGCTTTGATTTAGCTCAGTTTGATGGAAAAGAAGGTGGTTCGTTGGGTAGATGATATAACCAACCATGCTTTCTCATATGAGTTAAATTTCGTGTATGGACCGTCATGTTGGTGTGTTTCATGAACTTGGGTGACATGGTCTTCAAGTATGTTATGTGAAGCATCCTTTGGAGTAATGGCAAGCTTGTCAAGTTGGTCGGTGATGTCTTCAAGTACTTGCAGGTTCATTAGACTGTCCACCGTTTGGTCATACTCTTCTTGAAGTCTCTTTGTACCGGCTCTTGTCTTTGGTGGAAACTTCATGGCGGGAATTGTCTTTTCAGAGTTTATGTCCGCACCAGGGGGGAGTGGGAATGCTCTCATTGTGAGTGCGATCCACGTGGCAGATTCACGTTGGAATGATGCGTGGAAAGTTATGAAGCATTGTTTGCCTTGTTTCTTGTGAAATGACGCTTCATAATGCCTGTGAAAGGGGCCGTCGGTCTCCTTCATCATGATGATACAATTTTCTGAGTACACGGCTCTAGTGTCGGACATTTTACTGTTATGCCTCTCAATTTTTCTATTATTTACGGGCAGTCGCGATTGTTTCACGCCTCGCTATGGTTTATTGTCTGCTTATAAAGTGGTCGAGCGGATGAGCAGTATGCGGCTCTAGAGCGGAAGTCTAGTACTGTATACATGGAAAACGAATGAGTCAGGCCTCCTGGTTGACCAAAAGAGATTTTTCCTCCTGGAAATTGTTTGCCGCTTAAGTCAATATACGCCCTACTGAAAACAAATACTCAGAAAGATAAATTTTGAGATGGTTAAAGATTAGATATCCCATCTAATGATCGTAATATCTGTCTAGTATTTAGTGGATAGAGGAATATAAAGGATTGTCCCGCAGGGAAAGTGAGATAGGATATCCGTCATATATACTCATATTTTGTGAATCGTATGGGCAGAAGTGGTTAACTTTACCGAATGACTTTTCCTACTCATGCCTCATTTTATTAATGCAGGTGGATTGGAGCAGTAATGATTCATATGATCTTCGAAAGTGATGTTGTGCTTTCAAGTCTTTGGAAATCTGAATTTTAATTATTATTATTTATATCGAAAAGCTTATAAATTTTGAAAACTTAAGTGTTTTAAAATGCATGTAAATCTGATATTTGAATTTACCAATTTTTGTTACGTTAGCGAATTTAAGTATAGTTATTTTTCTTGTTATAAAATGAGCAATGGAATGGGAACTTGTATTATTTCTTGGCTAGTTAAGCAACATGGGTGCTCTTAATGAATTAAACAAAATGTTGTATTATTTCTTCACGAGTTAAAAACAAGATGGGTGTTACTGATGAATTCATTATATTATTCAATTTGAACAAATTTCAACGATTAACTATAAAAAAGAACACTTTGAAGTAGAAGTTTTTAACAAAAATTAAAGAAAATAATTAAACATATAAAAGCCAAACGGACATCTATACTCGCACAAAGAAACACAACCAAAAATACACTTTTTTGTATTTTGTTTTTGTTTTTCGCACTCTTTTGCATTTGCGTTCGATAGAAAACAAAATTCGGATTTGAGATGCAAATTCTATCAAATCGCCACCAAAGCAACCCTCTTTGTCTATGGCTTTTGGTTAACTGCTACCACCGTTTCTTCTCTTTTTCTCTCCATTTGCAGCACCTGTTGTTGCTTTGTCCAAATCCGACAACTTCTTCGTTGTCCCAAGTGACGTAGATGATGAAAGGCTCTTCTTTGGCAATACCATTTGCGGAGGTTTCTTAATATCAGACACAACCTTCTTCTTTTGCAAACATAAGTTGCTTGTGGTTCGGACATTACCCTTGGATTTCACATCTTGCGTAGTAGCCAACTTTCCTGCTGTTCCCACCCTAGCCTTTGATTTCATAGCTTGCGTGTTATCCAAGTTTCTACTTGTTCCCACACTAGCCTTGGATTTCTTCAAGGGCTGTGGTTTACTCAACTGGCTTGTTGTCTCCACACTAGCCTTCGATTTCACAGTTTCCGTATTTCCAAATGAACTTCTGCGTGACAAAGAGCTACCAACGCTCTCGTCTTCTTTGACATTTGTGGACGATCCACCACCGATGCTATGCCTGCGGTTAACCCCCTCGCTCTTCATGCTCACACAATCACTATTTGTAGGCCATTGGATAGCTTTCTGGCTGGCTGACTTTACTGTTTTAGCTCTTGCAGGAGAAGTCTTGATGGAGTTTTCACGTTTGAGAGAGTTCTTGAGTAAGGCCTGGTCGTCATTAGATTGAGGATCCCACGGACGAGAAGCCATCCACCTTTCAAGCCAACTCCAACCCCAATGTGGAGTGTTTGCGTCCATCAGAGTCTGGTGTGGAAGTTTTGAAGAGTTTCTCCATGTTTGCTGTTTTATTTTCCAACATAAAATTTATATGAATATGAATATTTTCCCAACAATGTTGTATTAATTTATATATACCTGATGAGTGTAAGCATACGCCAAAGCCCTCTCACGTCTTACAGAAGCCTCTTTTCGATTCACGAACTTTGCTCGGATCTGTTCCTTTGATTTATTGCTGGAATCGAAATCTCCTGCGATAACCTGCAAACATGAATTGATCCATCTGAGGATTTTGGTTCACACAAAGTGGTAAGACCGTGAAAGCGAGCACTTTTGTCCCGAACCTGGGGGATTACGGTTTTGGTCAATAACCTCTTAGTAATTAAAAAAAACAAAATTAAAGAATAAAGGATAATTTACCAAATTCTGATTCTGATGGTATTCTTTCTGGTGAACCTTTTGTTGGATCAGCCTGTGACGAGCTTTGTTCTCTTCAGATAATCGATTCCTCCTCTCTTGGATCTGTATTTGTAAACGTGTAAGGGTTTGCATTGAGCTAAGCATCGCGTTCATCTGTCTTTTGACGTATTTTCCTTGCAGCAATGTCTTGAGTCTGGCCATTCCTCGCAGCATACGTAGAGTGCGTCTCGCCTGTTAAACACAGTTAATTAGACTAACCATCACATTCTTAGAATATTTGAAAGCTATGTAAAAGTTTTTTCTAAAGTTATATTTGATGTTTTCAATCTTTTTGCTTTTATTTTTTTCAAATTCTCTCACATTCTAAAACTAAACTTTTTCCTTTTTTCCAATATAATTGATATTTTAGGATACATTTTTTTTTTCAAATTACATGATATTTTCACCTTTCAATGCAAAATTAATTAACTTTTTATGGTTTGTGATCATTTGAATTATGCAGTTTGTGTTATTATTTCTTGTCTTGTATATAGATAGGTATTTAATAATGTTTTTGTCAAAAACCTAAAACATCAATTATTTGAAAAAATGAAGGATTAGACTCTAATAAAATCATAAGTTTCTTTTACCTGTTGATCGGGTTGTATTTGAATGCCCCTATTGAATATATATGTTATATGGTAATCGACGACGGCTCAAAGACTAAATTAATCCATCGTAATACGAGGAGCACTTTAAGGGAATGAATGATTTGTAAGTGTACCTTGTAACATCGATATGCATTTTGTATCTTGATTGCGGAAGTTTCTTCCTTTGATTCACCAGTTTGATGTGTTGAGGTCGTTGTGAGACGCACAACCTCCGCGGCAGCATGTGCAGCAACCACAGCTGCTTCGGCTGCAACAGCCGATGCAAGAGCTAGAGCTTGTCTTGTCTTTGCTTGTTTGGAATCGACATAGCCTTTATTCCTGGCAGAAGCCGGGAGGGGAGGGGCAGGAGGAGGAGGGGACGGTGGTGGTAACAATGGCTGAGGAGCAAAGTCCGGCAATGGAGGAGGAGGAGGCGACGGCCGAGTAACAGAGGAAGATGAATGGTCAATCGGTGGAGTTTCCTCTACAGAGAATTCAATGGATTCTCTACTCTTTTGTTTCCCAAACCATTTCTTCTTCTCTTTCTCGACTTTCTTGACAAAACCAAAACCAGAATCAAAGAATTATAAATCTTGATTATTGACAATATTTAATACAAAAATTAAATTTATGATAAAGAATAAATTTTGGAAACAAACTTGTTGCTTTTTGTCTCTTCCTGGAGATAAACAAGACACCGAGACACAAGTTAACCAGCTTTTTCCCATCTTTTCTTGCTTCTCTCCTGAAATTTCAGACAATCTTTCATTGAAACATTCTTACAAAATGAATGTCAATAAGAAGGTAAGCAGGGGATATGAGATCATTTTAACGAGACCTGGTCACGATGGGCCCCACCGTTTCGTGGTAACCCAATTGACTTTCGTAACGATTGTATTTTATAAGAACTATTCAACAGATTTAACGACAGATACGTTATAAGTTATAACCTCTTTTAAGTTTCTCTAAAAAAAATTCTCTGCTTCGTTGTTCTTTCTTTGTTATTTTTATCAACTTATAAATATATTTAAATATTTATTTCTGGTGTGTTAGTTTTTAGAATTAAAAGCTTATATATTGTGTAACATTTCTCTCAAGCTGTTCGACAAATTTAGAAAATTTGGTTTTTGAGTTTTGATGATCCAATCCTCCATTCTTTTGTTTGGTCGATAGATTCTGTCATCAACAAGAAATGAATAAAGAAATCGAAATAGAAGATCAAAGCCAACACCAAAAGTAAAAGCACATAATACTATAAACAGTTGCCTGAAGAGAATAGCGAATTCGAAAATCGATTGTTAAGCGACAAAAATAACTACGTACGGAACCCAAAATGTTTAGTTTTACAAAGAGTTTATTCGTAAATTAGCAAAGAGAATAAAAAACATATATAAAGGGGATGATAAAACTCTCCAGCTCCCTAAAACAATAACAGGTTTAACGTGTAAAATATTTGTGTAGCTGCTTTTAATTCTATTTATTAAATTGGAAGCCGGCAGGGAGAATACGTGCAAACATTTACTTCAGATCAGATACAAGGACTTAATCTTTGTTGTTGTAGATGGGTTTTAAAGATGATTCATGTAATGTCTTAGATCTAGGCCCAACTAAAAAAGGAAAGGTCTATGTGTCTAAAGCCTAAGAGGAAAATGTATTAGAGTTTTCTCAGAGTCTTCCCTATATAAATAAAGCTAGAGAGTCAGGATTTTATCCACAATTCCCAAAGTACTCCGAGATAGAATCTATGAATCCTAACCGAGCAAGCCGCCTCTGCCGTTTGTCTTTGCCGTTCGCCGCCGGCGAGGAGAGCCGCCGCCATTCATCAGTTCCAAGCTGCCGTTTTCTTGAATCCTTCGCCTTCCGTCGTTAGATCCCTTAAACCCAAGATCCCTTTTTAGTTTTCAATCGATTAGAAAAAGATAAGGATGTGTTCATATCTTCCCTTCGATATCGTTAGCTAGCTTGATTCCGTTAGATTTATACCTCAAGTCCTCTAAAACCCTACAAGTTCCGATCTTGGTGGTAACTTGTAGATCGGTACTGTTTGCTAGGTTGTTATTTACTTTCAAAACTTAGATCTATATGTGGATAAATACTTTTGATTGTTGATTGATGTTGAATATTATTTGTGAGAATTATGAATATGCATTGCATTGCATATAGCGTGTGAAAGCACAAACTGCATTAGAACTTAGCTGTGAGAAGGCACTCCTGGCATGATTGACGCCTGCGACAGAGGATGTGCTTGTCGTAGTGCCATGTGGTGCTCAGGTTGACGAACCAGTCGTGCAACGACTTAGTGTGACACCCGATCCCGATCATATAAACCAAACCGGCAATGTCAAGATAACCGTCTGCGCTAGTAGCCAAACACGTTATCCTTTTTACAAGTCCTAGAATTTGAAGGCGCCTTGCTTAACAAATAACTCCACACCACATACAATATTGAAGCATCATGACTCACCTATCCTGGTAGAGGGGATCGAGAGAGAGAAGATAGGGGAATGGAGGGATGAGTAATTTAGATTACCCAGGAGAATGAACCTACACTATTATATCAATGCAACACAACTTAACAAATGCTAAGTTCAAGCCTAAAACAGTACCATAGAAAGTCCTAAAGACTTCACACAGTCACCTATCAGTCTTTAGGTAACGCCACTGTGAATACCAGAACCACACAATGATGACTTACACTGTGGCACTTGGGATGCATCCTTCGTAAATTTATAGTCGCTACACGACTAGCCCGTCGGCCATGCCTTGAGAGTGCTACGTATAGCCATTCCTCCCATACCATATGAGTATACGCTGAACCCTTTGAACAGCCCCATATGATGTCAGGTCCCTCAGTACCCCCTTGCATATTGCCCACGTGGCTCAGCGACTATCCTCAACTTCGGTGTATCGATTACAGCCCCAGGCAAATGCAATCTCAACCATCCATCTCAGACCCCAAACAATAGTCCTCCACTCAAGTATATCGACCACGACTCCTTTGCCTTTTGATCTCAATTCTCATCTCAGATATTTAACAATCACATAGTCTCAATAATGATTTCAAACAATACCGTATTAAATTCCTATCGTCTTTACAAGTTCTAGGCGATCAAACAATCACAGAAAAGATCCAAACAACAATCAAACAAGCAAGGCGTTTCAAACACAAGTAAAGCTTCATTTTAAGTCTCCTGCAACTTCAGTTTCAAAGCCATAAACACATCTAGGCGATCACATATCAAACAGCAACTTAGTAAGACCTAGCTGGGACTCAGTTCTAGAGCAGAAAGTAGTTTATGCTTGGATTAACCCCAAACTAGACATTCAGAAAAGAAGGACATTATATTCTAGCACAGATTCATCCTCACCTTAGCCTAGGTGGCGAAGGAAGTGGCGAGGGGAGGTACAGAGAAGAGAAGGAGGCGAGATGATCAACAGCGGCTAACCACGCCGGGTTAATCCGCCTTTCAGGCTGCTGCTGCGGTGGCGCGTGGCGCCGGAAAGACTCCGGCTCATCATCGATGTGAAACACCGGGATGGGGCGCCTGGTCGGATCGGCAATGGGTCCATCTTGAAGGTGGTGGACTCGCGGCTCCTCCACGGTGGCAGCGGACGACGTCGGCTGTTCGGGGAAGCGGCTGGAGCGACCATCGGACAGCGGCGAATGATGTAGGTGTTTTGCCTATCTCAGTCCTCAACCCACACCAGTCATTGTAGTATTCAGTTTATCAATCCATGGGGAGTTGTGGAATACAAAAGAGTTGCAAGCAGAAGTCGTTAAGTCAAGCAAGCAGAGAGTTTTTTGTTGCTTAAGCAACTGAACTAACAACCTAAAGTGTTCATAAATCAAAGAAAGTTCAAGAAAAGACAGTTTGGTAATGATCAAGGAAGCAAAACAGAGCAAATAAACAGAGTATTGCAAATTCGAAATTCAGACAAAGAGAAGACAAGTTCCTAGATGTGGTTATTGATTTTGGGGGAGTTCAAAAGTTAAGTAAGGCTGTTACAAACATCATTGATCAAGCAAACAAGCTAGCATTACTGATTCCTAGACATAGAGTTCACAAACAAGTAAGCTAAGTTCAATCTCTTGACAAATAGCCCTTTGCTAAACACTTTAACAAGAACTAACTCTCATTAGTGCCAAAACATTCAACAAGCATTAAGAATCAACTCTATTCATGTCAAAATACTCTTCAGACAGTCAATCTCTTGAGCAAAGGCCAGTAAATCCTCTATTAAACAAGATCAGCATTTCATCAAACACTTGGTGGGCATAAGAAAAAGCCTAATTCTAGATTCAAGTGATCAAGTTAAATCTAGCTTAAGAACAGAATAATATAGAGGAACCCATGTTATTAAGCACTAACAAACCTTAGATAAGGTTCTAAATCCCCATAATCTACCACATCTAAGAACCTTAAGGAAACTACTCACTAATAGTCATGTTTAACACCAAATCACAAGAGGAAGAGATACTAATCATGATTAAAAGAGAGATTAAGAAAAGATTAAAGGCAAATACAAACTTAGATTAAATGAAGCAAGAAATTTGTCTTACAAACTCAAACAAATCACTCAAGAACAGTAAATTGACAAGACCTGTGGAAAATGTCTTGGAACAGAGTATTTATACATAAAGAGAAAAATCCTAAAAGTAATGGCAGAATGGTAAACAAAAGCAGCTTCAGACTGGGATCCTATCGGTCTACATGTGATTGATAAGCTTGCTATCGGTCTAGAGGGTAACCGATAGGGTGATCGGAATACATCTGGTATACCTTATCCGTCACTTCTTCGATCGATAGCTTGATCGATAGGAGTGACCGATAGCCTTCATGCCTTGACTGATAGGGCTCGCCGAAATCGTCTGCCTTGGTTCCTCTTGCTCCATCCAAGCTTATCAAGCCTCCTGGTTCATTCCCAAAGCTCCTCTTTGTTCCTCATAGCTCTATAAGCACCTAAAAACATCCTTTATGCAAAGAAAATGCAAACTACATCCTAAATGAAACCTAAGTCTAAAAGGAGAAGAAAATGGGAGAAAAGATAAGGAAGACATGCAAAAGAGAACCAAAACATGCACTAAATTCAAGCCTAAATTATGTAAATGCATGAGATATCAGCAAAGATGAACGGCGGGACATTGCAAAGAGAGAGAAGAGCGGCGATGAGAGAGAAAGAGAAGAGAGAGAAACGGTGGAGAGAGAGTACTCGCCGTCGGAAAGAGAGAGAGAAGAGATTTCTAGGGTTTCTCAGTTCTCTGGAAATTTAGAATGAAGAAAATAATGAGGAGGAGATCTCTATTTATACCCACTGGGAGATTTGGATAAAAAGTAAAGATAACCACGAAAAAGGAAAGGATAATTACGAATAAAAATATTCACAATTCTTTTAGGAAAATGTTCATTAATATCAAATTAAAAATGTAATATTTATCTATACCAGGAATATTTATCTCTCGAAAGAAAAAAGAAATATCGAGAAATCGGAATTGGGCTTAAACCTTCTTAGTTCGGGATTGAATTTTCCAAATGGACCTGATTTGGAAAACCGGGTTGTTACACTTAGACTCTTGCGGAGATGCGTCCCCTAGCAAGGGTGTATGACATACGAAACTTGCGGAGGTTAATCTGTAGGATACTGTAATGAAAGGCGTTCGATATGCTAGCTTTGTTTATTGCATATTTGTTTGTTGATTGTTAGAGGAATCGTTAAACTGCGTCTGTTCGTTTGGCTCTGGCTAGTGACAAGTTTGGGTAATGGTATATGTGGTGGACCATATGTATGCATTCTCCTGGGTAATCTAAATTACTCATCCCCTCCTATCTTTTTTCCCCTTGCGCAGGTGAGCATGAGCAGCTAGAGTGATTGGCTTGTGATGGTGGCGAGCTGGTTATCTAGTTCGATCCTTGTGGTCCATAATACACTTAGCTTTCTATTTCAAAAGGTTTTCAGTTGGTTTTGAGACTTGATTATGGTTTATTTCAAGTTTAAGTTGGTTATTTGCAAGACTATTTGAATTTATATCGATGGAATGAGTATTGATTGGGAGTTAAAGTTGTGGTAACTTGGTTGGAAAGTTGAGTGTTTACACGTCATCTCATTTGTGGAGAGGCCGTGTAACAATTCATTTCATACCGTATGACAAAACAAATGATGCCACGCAAACCACCGACTTATT